ATATGGTTTAAACAACTGTAACATTTTAATTTCTTAAACTTCTGCTAATCATTACTTCTTTTTTCCAGTCCTCAAGCATTGAGGAACTGGATCTGTCACGCAACAACTTAATGGAGCTGAACCCACAAGCTTTCTCGCAACTGTTAAATGTAGTCTACATTAATTTGTCACAGAATAACTTGCAGAAGATTCCCGAACATGTCTTCGATTCCGTTGAGACGATCGAGGAATTGGATTTGTCTTACAACGCGCTGAAAACCCTGCCTGCCACCGTCTTCAACCGCACTGCGCTTGCTATATTGCATTTGAAATACAACTCTATTACCGGCGACTTACACTTTGGCACCGATGATCTACAACAACTCGATCTTAGCTTCAACAGCATCAAGAAAATCCATCATGGCATGTTCGATAAAATGACTGGCCTGACTAACCTTAATCTCAAGGGTAATGGCATTACTACCATCCAGCCTGATTCCTTCTTGGCGCTGAAGAGCTTGCGTCATATTGATCTGTCTATCAACGACTTAGATCAAGTCAATGCCATGATTTTCTTCAANGCGCTCTCGGCCACAAAACCTTTTCAACAATGCCACATTTGGCCACATTGAAGCTCGCCTGGAACAACATCAACAACTTGGAGCGTGACACTTTCATCAGCCTTACTAAGCTGACCGAACTGGACTTGAGCAACAATTTGATTGCCCGTTTGGATGAGCTCCTTTTCATGAACAACAACGAACTGACTAAACTGAATCTGGCCGGCAACCCAATACGCAAACTTTCCGTGCGCCTCTTCATGCCACTGAGCAAACTACGCGAATTGGACGTAAGCGATTGTGAACTGACTTCGTTACTCTCCGAGAACCAATATGGCATGGGCCGTAAATACAAATTCTACGACACTTTGCGTAGCTTCAATGCCTCGTCCAATCAAATTAAACGCGTATCCTCCGGAGATGTGCGCAGCTTCAAGAATCTACGTACGCTGGACATTTCACACAACCCACTCAAGTGCAACGAAGACTTCCAAGACTTCATCAACTACGTATCGCTTACGCCCAACTTAGGTACCAACAAACTGCCAACGCTTGCCAATCTCGAAGGTGACGCAATTGTCGAATATCAACCACACGCTGACTGGGCTGCGCTGGCGCATGAGGTGTGCCGCCGTCAAGAGACTACTGTGAGCAAGACAAAGCAGAAGAGTTTGGAAAAACGCATCGAGCAGGCGGACAAGGTGTTGGACGACGATGCAAGAAGTCTGTGGAAGATTGTGGAGAACACAAAGCACGATAAACACAAGATACTGAAGGATACAGATAACAGCGAGGTGTCTATTGCGGGTAGCTTGGATGAGGAGAGTGCGGAAGAGGACGAGAACACCGCCGAGGAGAGCAAAGACGACGAAGAGGAGGAAGAAAACGATAGCGAATATGACGAAGATGAAGACGACGAGGATGATGAGGATGACGATGAAGACGACAATGGTAAAAAGAGCAACGATGAAGACATCGAAAAGAAGATTGACATTACTAAGCTGCATGACTTTGGCATGCGCGTCGAAGAAGTGAACCTGAATAAAGAAACGAAGGATGAATTCTTGTTGAGTAAGTACAGTGTACAGATTATAAAAAAAATGCCTAAAAAATACGTGCTTTATAAACTATATTTTATTGCAAATTGTAGATAAATTCTTGTTGAATGGCGAGGACTCTAGCGAAAACAACGCCGAAGAGGAAATTATCATTGAACGCGGTCGCATCTATTATGAAGGCTCCAGATTCCTAGTGCCCGCAGTTGTGATCTTTTTATGCCTATTCATCATTTTGGCCGTCATCACCAAGATCGTTATGGTTATGTTGCGTAAACGTGGCGAACGTTATCGCATGGCGCTGTTGGCTTCCTCCAACAACTCGATCGTCTATCAGAAACTTAGCGAAGAAATCAATCCTAAGGTAAAGGAACCGAAGGTACCGAAAGTGCATCGCTATGCACCAATTAATCAGGTCTAAGGCAAGAGGCCGAACATAAATGGGCCGCAGGCAAATTTAGACAAGAGGAATTGAAGCCCATACTAATAGCAGTTGTTGGGAACTGGATGAGTAAATGTGAAAAGGGCATGGGAGTTGAAAGAGAAAAAAACAAAACTCAAAACACAACCACTTGTTATTAAAATGTTTTAATTTTAAGCAAAACTATATAATAAAAATATGAAAAATAGTAAAATGCAAAACACAACTAAAACAGAGAAAAACGCACACTAAACGAAATACATACATATACATGTAGGTATGTGAAATTTGTAACAAGGCGGGAACCAAGTATTAATAATGAATCATACTTAAATACAAAACATAATAATACTATTTTACGTTACTAAACTGATGCAGTACTTAAATAAGCTTAACTACGAGACATGAAAATTCATAAAAATTAACTATTTCTGTTTAATTTTTTCGATTTCCCTCCCAAGTTTGATTAACAGAACACGCCAACCGATCTACGAACTAACGCAAGGGAGAAGGTGAAAAAAGTGATCAAAATTAATTAATAATTGTCTTACACAAAGCAACTGAAAGCATTTTATATAAATAATTTACAATTAATTTAAAGATAGTGGAAAAAACGCCAAACCCATTCCATCAATTTACAACATACTAAGCAAAGACTTTCAAAGAATACCTAAAATACTTAGTGCCATGGTTTGAAAATTTTCGGAACTAAAGAGGATTACATGTTTGAAAAAAAAATACGTGTAGATGTGTAGATACCTCCAAAAATATTCAGTATGCTATTCGCACGACAAAATTAATATAAAGAAGACCTGGGCGTTTTTTTGTTGTTGTATAGAAGAAAAAAGACACAAGAGGTTAATTCGCATTTGGTGAAAGAGTAAAAAATTAATTTTATTACTTATACACAATTAATAAATAATAGTAACTTTATATATACATATATACGATAAATGTTTTCTGTAATATATGTTGTAAGTGAAATCTTACATAACTTTGAAGCTTCTAACTACCTTAAAAATATTTACATACACTAAAAATTCTTCCACAATCTTTTTATATTAGTTTATAACGTATGTATGTATATACATACATACATGCAACCTAATGTATTTACATACATACATTTAATTACCTTGGTATATATTTTATTTCGAATGCAAAAAAAAAAATCTATCCACATGCAGAGAGCGTGAAAGAAGAAATTTAAATTATTTTTTAACAAAACTTATTTTTGTAATGTAATTTCGAAGTAAATTAAATTGGATAATTATATAATTATTATTATTTACATAGATACTACAGGAAAAAAAACATATATAAAACTTTTCTCGAAGTTAAAGTTTGTACTACGAAGTCCAGAGATTTGTGAAACGAACTCAAAACTTTCTGTATTTGATTAAAGGGAAAATTTCAATAAAATCTGCATTTTCGAGAAAAGGAAAAAACAATATACAATGATCTTTCAATTAAGCTTTTTGCAGCGGGATTCTGATAATCGCTAAACTCGTTTCTCGTAGCATAAATTCTCTAAGCAGTGTGACCAAAAAGTATACAACATAAAAACCTAACAGTACAATGCGTAATCAGCCAAATCTGACAGTATGAGCAGCGCGGGATTAAGGGCATCGGCCCAGAGCCCCCAACATGTGATTACGAAAGAACAAAAAAATAAATAATTTTTCAGAGATTACAGAAAAGATCGATAGGTATAAATATATGTCAACACCATCAATACATCTTGCGGAACCTAGCTTGCTTCTCCTGGCTCTGGTGAGATTCTCGACTCACCCAATAATGGTAATTTCCGTGGAACGCTGGAACTAATAGCTCAGAATGACCCCCGGGCATATCAAAGAATAGGGAAATAAGGGACGACGGCACGTGAAATATAATTATTTTTTTTTTTTAATGAATTGTATGTAATTACTAACTCAAAAAGGGCCCTCAGGTTGCAGGTTGTTGGGCGCGCCTGCTATTCTTTTAACAATTTTCGGCGATCAAAATGAGCGATTGCGAATTTTAGAATCCGGCTGCAGATTTTGAAATGCCTTCAAAAGATTTGCCCAAAAATTTCACAGTTTACGTTGAGCGAAATAATTTAGAACGGTCGATTAGAAAATATATTGACTTTTGCGCTACCGAGCGGACTAATTTATCCTTCATATTGCATTGTCATCAGATTCTGTGCTAGGTTTGAAGTTTATAGTCTCTAGCTCATCGGGAAGTTGGTTACAAATTTAGTGCAAGTGTCTGTGATTCTCCACCAGGAATTGCTTACAGCAGATTATCGAAGGTAACTCCCCCCATTTCCAGATATCCATAATTATGATAGTAGCCATGGAGTTTGAGGACCTTGGTGAGGTAGTCTAATCCCGCAGGACCCAATTTTTTCAGCATCAGCATGCATATTTCGTCAGGTCCTATGGCTTTAAACCTCACCGCTGGTGAAAGCAAAAAGCGTGCTGGGTGTTGGTGGATTTTGCAGCCTTCTGGTCACTCGACGTTTGGCTTTGTCCGGAGGATGCCGCGTGAGCTGTCGGCTAAAATAACTGACGAATTGCTCCGGATCCGACGAAGCGCGTTCGCCGAAAGAGATTTCCACTCTGTCGTCGCGCCTCGTCGGGTTAAATAGTGACCTCACGGCTGACCAAAGCCTACGTACACCATAGGTGAAGTAGTCTTCAGATGCTCCTCCCACTTCTTCCGCTTATGTACGTTAAAAAGTTGCCAAATCTTCGTGTTGAGAACCCTAACACGGGGTTTTCTGGAATCGGCCGGACGAAGATTGCCGCGATCATCGGCTTGGACCGCCGCTTCCGCTGAGAATATCGAACAGGGGTCTGAAAGGCATCCAGAGGCAATGAAGCGAGCTGTAGCAGAAGTGACAACTCAGCAGAATAAACGCTCTCCTGCGTGAACATCAGGGCAGAAAAAGAGATTTTAGTAACTGCCCCCAAGCCTTTTCTATCAGCTTTGGTAAAGTTAACGTACAGTTGTCCACAAAATAATAGGAGTGGGATATTTTAACCTGTTTTGGCTATTTGTCTTTAGTTTATTTAATGTTTCGTATTTTTTTATAAAAGCCTAGCTGGTAATACAACAAACACCATATAAATTTACATTTTCAAGTTTGTATAAAAATTATAAAAATTCTGCAAATTTTCACCAAAATTTCAAACTATTTAACCAGAATCTTTAGAAAATATGTTGGTATGCAGTTTTGTAGCCCATTCAATTCTAGTCTGAAGAAGTGCAAGTTTCAAGCTGCTAAAAAATTCCGTTGATTTTTGGCAATTTTTTTTGCTGGCACTGTCCCCATATAAAAGAAAATTGTCGAACATACTTTGTATGGAAAAAACGTGAAACACCTTCAACCGAAAAAATTCTCAAAAATCAACGGAATTTTTTAGCAGCTTGAAACTTGCACTTCTTCAGACTAGAATTGAATGGGCTATAAAACTGCATACCAGAATTTTCTCTGAAGATTCTGATTAAAAAGTTTGATATTTTGGTGAAAATTTACAGAATTTTAATAATTTTTGTACAAAGGTTGAAATCTGAATTTATTCGTTGTTTGTTGTATACCCAGCTTGACTTTTGTATAAAAATAATAAACATTAAATAAACAAAAGACAAATAGCAAAAACTGACCAAAATAACGCACTCCTATTATTTTGTGGACCACCGTAGGTTCGGTATTCTGCGGAAGCAAAGTCAGCAGGTTTGTCGGTCGAGATAACTATGGCAGATGGTTTATCGGACCAGCGCTTACAATTGTTATGTCCGGCTATCTGCTAGAGCTGCCAATAATCGTAGTGGGTGCTTCGCCGTTCATTGTGCAGAATGTCGATTTGTCTCACTGCTCAACCAAGTGTCGATCATTCGACGGGTTTGAATGCCAAAGATCGCCGTGCGTTGAAGTCACCAACTACCATACGATTTTGAGCTGTGAGGAGCGCACCTATTTCAGGGTGATGTCCTGCCGGCAAGCTGGTGACAGAGGGTATATAAACGTTAAATATTTCGAGCTTGCCAGACCGGATAGCAATACCCTGACTTTCTAGGATAGTATCCCTGCGATCGATGTCTGCTTCTATAAGACAATACTGCACGGTGTGGTGCGTGATGAACCATAAGCCATCACCATTATCACGCTCGCAATATCGACGGTGACGAACGGTATTCAAAAATAGTGCCGAAAAGAAGATGAAACTGCCACAAAATTTAAATTGCTTTATATATATATGTATATATGAAAATCTCGTGTCACGGTTTTTGTGGTCGAACTGGCTGGACCGATCTTTATGAAATTATTTGTGCATATATGGTATGTATGAGATTCGGATGTTAAGTATATTTCATACTCATGGAAAAAAAATTGCAGTTATTGGAAAAGGGGCGTAGCACCTCCCATACAAACCTAATTTTTCATACTGTAGGTATATCTCTGGAAGTGTTCTTGGTAGAGTACTGGCACTTGGTATGGATATATGAAATCAATCACATGGTCATGTAGAAAAATTGGGGCTATTAGAAAAAGGGACGTGGCACATCCCATACAACCCGAATTTTTCACACTGCATATCTCTGCAAGTGTTCATGGTTGGTAGAGTACTCGAACATGGTATGGAGATATAGGAAATCAATCCCATACATAAATTGGGGTTATTTGAAAAGGGGGCGTGGCGCCTTTCAAACACACTGAAGCTATTACGTATCTTTGTATGCGTATACTTTTTTGCTAGAAATATGCCTTCTGACAACCACCAAACCGTAATATTGGAAGATAAATAGTCCAGAGGCTCCTTAAAGAACCTTTGGGCCCGTCAGCTTATCGACAGGCCCTCAACGGCATTCACAGGGAGGTCTCGAGTTATGTAGACTCCAGACCTGTGAATGCCGTTTTAGGCGCACAACCACCGGACATTGACGAGACGGAGCTTCATCTACCTCGGGAGACACGAACCACAATAGCCCAACTTCACTCTGGCTACTGCAGCAGGTTAAACTCATACCTGAGCAGACTAAACGCAGATGTACGAAATGAGTGTCCGGCATGCGGAGAGACACCTGACTGGAAACATCTCTTCGTATGCCCGGAAAACCCGACAACCCTAACGCCTTTGTCTCTGTGGACCAACCCTATTGAGGCTGCACGCTTCTTAGGGCTGCCGTTAGTGGAACTTGACGACAACGACTGAGATATTAACCGATCTGGGCGGGGTTGTTGTAGCCGCTACAGCAACAACATTAGAAGATAAATACGTCACTGAAAATCATGAACGTGAACTGTTAGTGAAAATGTTGGACGAAAATGTTTCAATACAAAAAAAATGTTGGGCGGGACGAAGTTCGCCGGGTCTGCTAGTAGTTACATAAATTCATAGTAAAATATCACAGTACCCACCATGCAAAACATGAGAAATAGGCAACAATCGGCAATGGCAACCAATCAGCGCCTCACCGATTTATTGCCGTGGTGACAAATCGGCAACATCATTTCTTTTATGTCAATTTCGGATTAATAAGTTATCAAAAATTCCCAAACTTATAATCTTCGCGTCAACAGTATTATCCAAAAGCGTCTAGCGAAAGGAAGAAATAATTCCGTTTCTAAATTCCAATTTTGTATACAAAAAATAAATGAAGTATTAAAAATTATTCCAAATATCTCCTGAAGCGATAAGAAAACGACTCGCCCAGTCGAATTGCCTTCGGCGGACGTTTTGGAACGACTGGTAATAGGAAATCGATACGGTGGCGATATTGCCAGCAATAAATTTGTTTCCGAGGGCGACACGTT